CTGAGGGGCGTAAGCCCGGCACACAGGGTTTTTTTTTTTTTTTTTTTTTTAGAGTTTTTTCACTGTAGGGCGCATGCACTCGTCAGAGAGAGACCGAGAGACAGAAAGCGAGAAATCACCCCCCTTGGGGGACGGCCACGCCACAATCCCTTCTCCTCCATTCTCCTCTCGGGATCCTGGGCATGCACGCACACGCGGCCGGCATGAGTTTAAGCCACCGGGTCCGGGACTCGAACTGCGGTCGACTACGTGGGAGTCCAGCGACATAGCCATTACGCTAACTGCTGGTTCCCAGGCTGTCTTTTTCTTTGAGAAGAGATTTTGGGCACGTGTGCACATGTGCCTGGCATGAATTTAAACTGCCAGGTCCAGGACTCAAACCGCAGTCGAGCATGTGGGAGCCTGCGACGTAGCCATTCCGCCACCTACTGGTCCCCGACTACCTCCTTTACTGTGGTTACCTGTTTGGCTGCAATTTCTTCATCTCGTCCATCTCCAATCACTACATACGTGACTTTCTTTCCAAACCTTGACACAATTCGCTCGAAGCAGCTCTCCTTACCTGAGGAGCAAAGGAGATCTCTGGTTAGGACACCCCCTCCCGCGTTCAGTACCGAAGAGCAGGGCTGCAGCTGGCCCACCAGCCTGTGTGGGACGCAGGCGCCAGCTGGCCCAAGGGGCGACTGCTGGCGGGAAATCTTCGTGTAGGAGGCACAAGCTCCGACCTTGTCAGAGGAGTGCCGACAGCTATTCCCTCAGCCCCTCCCTCCCCAGGTGAGCACACTGGCTCTCCATTAGAGCGGGGTCTCACAAGAGCTGCAGGAATCGGCTTTTGGGGGAGCGCGGCCCCGTGTGCTCTAGGCTCTGGGTCCCCCCATCACATGGAGCGGTGACACCGGAGAGGGGCTTTCAGGCACGTGGCCACCTACCAGCCCTTGTCAGTGAGGTACTTCAACCACACAAAAAGCACAGAGTCAAAACCCTAGCTTTTCAGACTCCCAACCACTGGCCAGTTTGTCAAGTCTTCACTTCACAGTCAGTGAGTAGGGTAGGGGTGTCGCAGACTCACCTGGAATGCTCTATGCACCCCAAACATGTGAACGTTGCGAACTTTGTATGAACCGAACATTCTGTCAATTCTCCGCCTGCAATGTGTTTTGTGTTCCACATTGACTTTTGGCACCAGTGGGGGGTGGTGTGGTTCTGTCGCTGGACTCTCATATGATTGTCTACGGTTCAAGTCCCAGACCTGGTGGCTTGAAACTCACACCAGAAGCGTGCGTGTGCATGCGTGCCAAGATCCCGGGAGGAGAATAGACAAGGGATTGTGGCATGACTATCCCTTTGTCGGGTGGGGTGATTTCTCACTTTCCCTTGTACTGTCTCTTCCTCTCCCTCTGGTGAGCACTCGCTCCCTAAGACAAAAACCTCTTAAAAAAAAACCCCATTGTTTTTCATATGGAGAGAGAAAGAGGGAGAGAGAAAGAGAGAGGGAAAGGGGGAAGGGAGGAGGGAGAAAGTGGGAGAGAGGTGGGCTTATTTATGACCTCCAAGATCCTGGGATATTAAAAAAAAACCAGACCAGCAGGTGGCATTGTAATTAAGGTATAGGATTACCAGCGTTTAACCGCAGTTTGAAAATCATGCTGGGCGCATGTGTGTGCATGCCCAAAATCCCGAGAAAAGAACGGAGAAGGGACTGCAGTGTGGCCAGCCCCCGGGGATGATTTCTCACTTTCCCTCTCACTGTCTCTCTGTGGAGAGCACAAGTATGTGCCCTATGGCAAAAACCTTAAAAAGAAAGAAAAAAGGGGAAAAAAAAAAAGGAAAAAAAAATCTAAGAAAAAACCAGATTTTATTTTGGGTCACAGAAAAGGTGATCAACAGGCATGCAGTGGGCAAGCACAGTCTCACTTTATCTTCTCTTTTTAACTCTGACTTTTTCAGAGAGATTTTTGCTATTGGCTCTGTGTGCTCACTGTAGAGCGAGAGAAAGTGAGACCACATCCTCCAGGGGGTGACCACGCCACAATCCCTTCTCCATTCTCCTCTCAGGGTCTTGATCACACGCACACGCACACGCACTCAGCGTGAGTTTCAAGCCACTGGTTCTGGGACTTCGACTGCAGTCCCCACCTTAACCACTATGCCACCTGCTGGTCCCCATTTTTAATTTTTCTAAGGAACTATACCGTTTTCTACAGCAGTGACGTCATCATATAATTCAACCGATGGAGCACAAAGTTCCAATTTCTCTACATTCTCTCATTACTTGTTACTTTCTGTATTTTTAAAAAGTTATTTTATTTAGCTTTATTTATTTAATTTGACCAGAGACAGACAACAGTGAGAGGAAAGTGAGAAAGCAAGCTGCCAGGCCCAAGATTCAAACCGTGGTCAGTCATGCGCAAGTCCGGCATCCCTAATCACACCCTGCCAGCCCTTTATATCATTTTTATTTATTTATTTTTGATAGTACCCATCCTAATAGGCCTGAGAGAAATACATTTTCATTTGCCAGAGGCTCTGTGTGCTTGCCAGAGAGAGACACACACAGAGAGAGAGAGAGACTGACAGACAGACAGAGATACAGAGAGGGAAAAGCACCCCTACTGTCTTACTGACCCTGCCTCGAGCCCTGCTCTCCCACTCCTCCTCCGTCAGGGTTGGGCAAGTACACTTGTGCACACACCTGGCAATTTTGTTTTTTTTCTTTTGGAGAGGTTTTTCCTATAGGGCATGCTCACTCGCCAGAAAGACAGAGACAGAGAGACAGAAAGCGAGAAATCACCCCCCCAGGGGGGATGGTCACGGTGCAATCCCTTCTCCTCCATTCTCCTCTCGGGATCTTGGGCACACACAGACACATGCCTGGCATGAGTTTAAGCCGCTGGGTCTGGGACTCAAACCGTGGTCGGCTACATGGGAGTCCACTGACATAGCCATTACGCCAACTACTGGTCCCCAGCGATCTTTCTACCACTACGTAAGTGCTGTGAAAAAGAGACGCCGAGTGAGGCAGAAACCGACTTCTAAAGCACAGTGCGGAGCGTGCTCACGTAACGCACTGGCTGCAGCCTGGACGGCCACCGGAACAGCCTCTGTACTGGAAGGCTGCAGTAAAGGTTCAGACGTTTTAAGGGACTGTTGGGAAGTCATGACGCAGTTTTGCATAGAAGACGTGTCATGACTGTCCCCACAAGTCGATATACGAATGGCCGACAGAGGGGCTGGCAGGTCACAGGTGCACTGGGGTAGGAGTCTGACTGGAGAGCTAGTGATAAGCAAACAGAAACCATACCGATTTTGGTAGCACTGTAGATGTTCTCGATAGGAAAGATCTCTCCTAGTCCGTACAGAAGAACTTTGGCCAGGGCTGGGACCAGCTGAGTGGTAGTGATCAGGACATTCACACAATTCTTTCTAGAAGGGATAAAAAGGAAAGGAAAAGAACAAGGGGGCCTAAGCCAACCTGGGAGCAAGAATTCAAAAGGGCCAACTTTTTAAGGTCTAACTACTGGGCTGTGGGGAAAGTCATGGCGTATTTTCTGTTTTCCGAGATCGTTTATGACGATCAGTCGTTGAAGATCAGTCAGTGATCAATGGCCCGTTCTGTGCCACAGCCTTCTGCCGTCTTTCACCGCGCTTCGTAATTCCTCGTCCACAGAAGGACCTGTCTTTGACAGCCAAGAGCCCAACGAGGTGCTGATGTACAGCCTCATCTGAACGGAACGTCCCTCGCACGGGGTTCAGAAGAGCGGACAGGGCAAGCGTGATGGCGCCAGGTCAGGCGACGAGTGGGCGTGGCGACACCTCCCCTCCGAGCTCTAGGCGTTTTTGACGCGTGATCAAACCTGAGTGTGGCCCCGCGCGGTCATGGTGGAACACAACTCCTTTATGACCAACGAGGTCTGGACGTTCCGGAGGCTGGGTTCGTTCTAACTGTCCAAGTGTCGACAGTACATGTTCAAGTTGATCGTTTGGTTCTTCGGTAGGAGCTCGAAAGACACAACACCTTTAAGATCCCACCACGGAACCAGCAGATGGCGTAATGGTTGCATCACTGAACTCTCATGTACTTGACTGCGGTTTGAGTCCCGGACCCGGTGGCCGAAAACTCACACTGGACTTGAGTGTCCAAAATCCCAAGAGCGGAGCAGAGAAGGGACTGGGTCGTGGCCATCTCCCTTGGGGGGTTGGGGGTGATTTCACACTTTCTCTCTCTCTCTTTCTCTGGTGAGCGGATGCACCCTATAGCAAAAATCTCCCTCTAAAAATAAATAAATAAATTTCCACCACACTGAGAGCATAGCATGTCTGCTTTCGATGTCGTTTAAGGTGAATTTTTTCATCGGGATCAAGACCATTTGCGGAGCTGGCCCATGGTGCAGTGGTTAGGGCACTGAACTCCCATATGGCCAACCACAATTTGAGTCCTAGATTTGGAGGTTTGCTGTCTCACTTTCCCTCTCTTTTCTCTCTCTGGCAAAATAAAAAAAAAAAAACAAAAACCATTCTTTCAAAGAAAAAAACACAGTTGTACACCACATAGCTGAAAACAATCCGCTTTCATCACAGTCATAGGTAGCTCCAAAAAAGGGTTGTTTTGCTCACGTTTAATGTGTAAGCACAGACGTGGCACGCACCATCAAACGAGCCCCGAGTCCACAAGGAAGCCAGAGCTGAGCTGCTCACGCGCCTCGGCTTCCTCAGGTGTCCCGAGCACTCAGATGCTCAGTGTCTCTGGGATCTCCCGTGTGGTGTGACGTGGGCCGCTGTGACCGAGTGTCGCTGAGATCACCGTCACCAGCACGGAAGTGCATGCACCGTGGCTGGCACCAACGTTCTGCGGAGCGCAGTCACCGGAGACCGTCCACAGCTGCTCACCAGCTTGACACGCGCCCCTCCCAGCACGGAAGTGCGACAGTGAACACAGCGGAGCGCAGTTCGGTCTCCGTCTTCCGCTTGTCATCCCCAGACTCAACCAAATCACTTAATTTTGTCTTTAGAATGAAGCTAGAACTGTCAGCTGTGAGATGACGTGGCAATGACAGATGTGAACGACTCCAGTCCGTCCAAAACAAACTAGGGCCACTTGTCACAAGAATGCGCCCTGACTTTCCGCCTCGAGGGGCCGGCTGCGCCAGGTGCCCAGGCCAGCACTGCCCCAGCCCTGCAGCTGTGCGCGTTTCCTCTGCTACAGGGCAGACCCTGCTCTTCCCGCCTCTCCACGGACAGAGCAGCCAATACCGTCTCGCCTCATTAGCCTTCTGAGTAGTCCAGCTCACCAGCCCACATTGCTGCTCCTCGTCCAGGAGACACACACAGAAAGCGACGCTCAGCTCCTGCACTATCTCATCCGAATGCAACTCCGCCCATGTGAGCCAGCACGGGACTCCAGACTGACCCTGCTTTCTCACGGACGCCCACCAGGTGGGTGGTCCTGCCACTGGGCAGGGTGCCACAGAGCGCCGGCAGACTGGGCTGCCTCCCTTCCAGGTCAGGTTAAGCCCAGACTTCCCCGGTCCGCCAGGCTACCCTTTCCTCTGCATCTTGCCTTTGCAAGTGGGTCTGGGCACGCTCTGGAGCCTGCGGTGTCCGGGTGCATGTGGAGAGCTTCTACTCTCAGCCTTTGGCATCGCCAGGTCCACACCCCAGCCTGGAGGTTATGGAGTTTGACTTTGCAAGAAAAGGCAGGAGGAAAGAAGGCCCTCATACCTAAACATTCTCTGAAGCCCTGAGCTGAGCTGTTCACGTAAACCCCCTCATTCCCCACCTAATTAACATTCCCTTGCAACACTGAAACCCCGCCGCCCCTTCCCCAACCCAAGGGTGGCCGAGCTGGCTAGGAAAGGGAGCCCCTCAGGAGCCGAGGCCTCAACGCCGTTACGTACCTGGACTGGATGAGGAGCAAGGACTTTAGCGCAGTCCCTAACCAAGAGTCTGTGACCACCTCGATCTCCGCTCTCAGCCTCTGCAGCGCTTCCTCTCTCTGGGGACTGAGGAGGCCTTAGGAAGAGATGCAGACGCAGCCATCACTGCGGGTCCCGAGGGAGCAGTTTCCACATGCAACGCAGCGAGCACGCGTCCCTAATTCTACTGAGCTAGCGTGTCCTTTCTGGAGAAACCTCGGAGCGGTGCCCATGTCACTGACTGTCACCAGGATGCTCTGCCGCAAGGACACAGCAGCACAGCACTGCTGCCACAGAAGGCGGCTGGTTCTGGTCAAGCGCCTTCCAGCACCAAGCAGCAGCACTGTGCGGAGCAGCGCACCAGAGGGCCCACCCTGAGGCCAGCGGAGGATGGGCGCTGCGGCTGGAAGAGCCCCTGGCACCTGTGCAGCCCCGGGAAGAAAGGGGGCCTACGAGCACGAGCAGCTGCTGGCCCCAGAAGCCTTTCTGGGCCACACGCAGCGCCCACCTGACGCACTGCCACGTGCTTCGAGGCGGCCAGCCAGCGCTCTGCTCTGCACCTACTGAGGCCACGGCCCTGCGGGGAGGCTCGAGCTCTGCCAAAAGATGAGGCAGCGAAGTGTGGTGCAGAGCAGAGCCCACGACGGGCACATGTCAGACACCCAGTAAGGGACAAGAAAGCTGGCTCCCAATTTTCTGTAGTGAAGGTAAAAAAAAACAAAACAAAACGGCAATCCCAGAATTAGATGACGCTCGTACTCCACCTTCTGGATAAAACAAGCAGGAAGAAACCACAACACAGTGACCAGCCTATGGGCAGCTCTGCTCGCTCGCACTGTACAAAGCACACAGTGGTCATTATTTTATTTCAAAGAGATTTTTGCTGTAGGGGTGTGCATTTGCCCGAGAGACAGAAAGCCAGAAATCACGCCCCGGGGGGATGGCCATGCCGCAATCCTCCCCTTGGGATTCTGGGCACACACGCACACGCACCCAGTGTGAATTTAGGCTGCCGGGTTTGGGACTCGAATGGCGGTTGACGACATGGGGTCCAGCGACGTGACCATCACACTGTCTGCTGGTCCCTTACACCTGTTCCCAAAGTAGGCTCCGGGGAGCCCCAAGGGTCACAGCACTTTCCTCAGAAAACTCGGCATAGGAACTGGGCAGGGAAGGAGGGGGAGGTTCAGGCTCCAATGAAAACCAACAAAGCGAGCCAGCGGAAACTCGGGAAATGCTGAACAAAACACTGGCTCTGAATTGTAAGCAGCAGCAAGAAATAAGAAGAGTCTGAGAAAAAGCGAGCTCGTGTCCTGAGTCTGGAAGCCCACGATTTGCAGCTGGCACGCGAGAGCCGACAGGGAACTGAACTGCGCTGACTTTCAGAGCAGGCACGAGCCTTTGCACAGACAGCGAGGCAGCCTGGCATGGCAGGCTGTGCGAGGGCGCTGGGCCTGCAGGGAGGGATGCACCTCCAGGCAGTCCACGCCATCCCCGAGACTTCAAGCAACATTCAGTGTGGGCATAGGTCTTTGAGGTGAGGGTTCCTAACTGGAAATACTTTCTTGTGAGGGTACTTCGTTGAACAAGGAGCTGCGAAAAGTGCAATGAGTGGGGAGTGAGGATACGGCTCTCGACTCTGGGTGGCGGCTGACTTGCTGCATGACTGGGGGAGCTGCCCTGCCACCTCCTCCATGGACAATGAGTTTAAGTGCTGGATGAGGGATTAGGGTTAGATCTCTAATATCTTTTCTAATTTGGCCAGTCTATGACTAACGATGAACTCTGAATAACAGAATTCTAAGTGTGCTACATCTGACATATGAAATATTCCTGGGCATAAAGTCGCCAAAGTCCTTCGAACGACGTCTGTCCTCCTGTTTACAGACACCAGCCTAATAACTTAACAGTAACTGGGAGTAAAGAATAAGACACTCCATCAAACAAGATCTACAGAACACAGTTCCTTAAAGAGTAACTTGTCAGTGAGGACGGAACTTCCCAAAGTTGCGCAAAGAGAAACCCATGCCCTCCTGGCGCTTCCCCCAAGGGTTTCAACAGAGCCTCCATTTTATACAGAGCTGACGTGGTACAGCGGCACGAATGAGAAGGCAGTTGCCACGGAGATCTCAGGAGGCCCTGGCAGGGAGAGGGGCCACAGGGCACTGGGACAGAGAGTGAGTTGGCCGTCTGCCACACTTACCACCCACGTTGCTTTTATGCTTATCGTAGATTTCCCGCACTTTTCGATAGCGGAAAGCCAGCTTCCTCATCCAGTCCACACCTCCCTGGACACCTACGGAGGAGCCATGGCCGCTGCTGCCCGCAGAGCCACTGAACCCGTCTGTGGAGAAACTGTAGTTGCTGTAAGAGAGCGGATAGCGGAGATGACAGTCTGCACACACAGGGCTTTGGCTGGACGTCCCTGAACACTCGGGCTGCCGCCGGTATCTGGGAAGGCAGTCGACGCCTCATGGTCTCCTCCCTTCATCTCTGTGCTGGGGTCCACCCTTCGCTAGTCCTGTCTCCCTCTTTTCGCTTCATGTTTCTGGGCCGGGGTGCATGGGCTCCCCAAGGTTCAGAGCAGGAGAAAAGCAAGCACCTGCCACGGGGGTCACCCTGCAGCTCCTGCTCACTGCTCCTCCCATTTAGGGTTCTGGGCACGCCTGCACATGTGTGTGCACGCTTCTCACACCCTTGTGTCTCACACTCTAACTGTGCAGTCACGTGGGTCCAGCTGCCAACCACGGCCAGGGAGACATCCCCTTTCGTTTGTTCAAAGTTTCTTTTCACTTGCAAACAAGAGTAAGAGAGGGGGTCTCCATGCGTGATCTGCCCCTTGCTTCGGCCAGTCCCAAATCATGACAGGGCCCCCGGCACATCCAGGGGTCTCCAGACATGAGCCTGGAACCTCCCTAAGGGTCGGCTGGGGGTCACTGCTGCGTTACCATCTGGCCCCATCCCTATTATTTTTGTCCGTGAGGGAACAGAAACAATTCAAGCACCAGCACCTCCTAAGGGCTGGCTTGTGACAAAGCATCTTTTTCAGGAATGACAGAATAATATATAGCGGAAAAAGTAGAATATAAAATTTTGTGTGCACACACACACACACACACTATAATTGCAATGATGTAAAAAGGAAAAACATGAAAAAAAAAAAGGAAGGAAATGACCCAAAAAGCTAATAGCAAGACTGTGACAGGTACTTCTGTTCCATGATCTGTTGAGCCCCTAGGTCCATGAGCCACTGCAGTGGCTTCAAATATGCCCACGAACCCGCCGCGTTCCTCTCCCCGTCTCTCCGGGACTTGACCCTACCATTAGGCTGGCCATTTTCTCGGTTGTTTTTTGTACTCATGTCTTGTGTCTGACTTTAATTTTTCTGGTATAGCACTCCTTTCAGCACTTCTTGGAGAGTTGGGCTCCTCTCCCCGTCTCTCCTCTCCCCGTCTCTCCGGGAACCCGTCGCGCTCCTCTCCCCGTCTCTCCTCTCCCCGTCTCTCCAGGGTTCGCTCCTCTCCCAGTTGCTCCCTGCATGTGTGGCCCGCCCTCAGGGCAGTGCGTGGAGAACGGGGGACACTCAACCTCAGGGGCAGGCGTCTTGCTCTGGGAGTCGGTCTCGTGAGAGCACGTGCGCGCCCATGGAGACCCATGGAGAATGCACTGGCCCAGCCACAGCGGACTGCCCAGGCCTGACCTCGCAGGTGAGGACCGCCCTCGCCAACACCCTCATTTCGACCCCACAGGCCCTGATTACAGAGGGGCTGGGACCAGATGGAGGAATGGGGACATTGCTGGACTCTCCCATGTCGACTGCGGTCGAGTCCCGACCCAGCAGCTTCAAGTTCACGCTGGGTGCATGTGCGTACACGTCCACACCCGAGAGCGCGGAGGAGAAAGGACTGCGGTGTGGCCATCCCCCCGGAGTGATTTCTTGCCTTCTGTCTATTTCTGTGGTGAATGCATGTCCCCTGTAACAAAAATTTCTCTCTAAATTAATAAAGGACCCCGCTGGGCTGGCCCAGCGCACAGTGCTTTAAGGGAGCTGGACCTGACATGGCTGCATGCAGCTCAGATCCCAGTCCAAGGGGTAAGAAACACACTGGGGGTGCGTGCCCAGAGCCCCGCTGAGATGGAGAAATGGAGAAGGGGCGACTGAAGGGGCGACTAGCGACCATGCCCCGTGGGGTTGCACACTCCCTCTCCTGTCGCTGTCAAGCACGTGCAGTCTCTGGTCACTGAAGAGCTGAAGAGCACCTGCTAAGCTGTGTCCAGGTTCCTGACCTACAGAAACTGTGATAGGTGGTGTATTGCTTTCAGCTACTAAATTTAAGGCAATATCTTTTAAAAATAATTTATTTATTTAATTGCATTTGTTATTAATATTTCTTTAATTTGACCAGCAAGAGATAGTTAAGAGAGAGAAAGGGAAAGTGAGAAAGCAAGCTGCCAGGTTTAGGACCCAAACTACAGTCTGCCATGTGGAGTCCAGCGCCTTTAACCACCACGCCACCTGCTGGTCCCTTAAGGCAATACATTACAGAGCGATGGATGACTGCTACAGTTCCACAGCTTGGGAAGATGAGTACTACCTAAGTGAGGCTTTAAGTAACTGAGAAGCTGAGATGCCTTGGCTCAATCAGAAGTGAAAACACAGCTCAAGGTGTTAAGTGTGAGCTTCTCTAAGAAAGGGAAGCTGCCAAGACGGAGGCAGGAGACTACCAGCTGGAAACACGTCTAGAAGACAAGACAACCAGGGCCGAGTTAGAATGTGACCGGCTTCGGTCATTTCCTAAAGGCTCAGCGAGGTCTACAGAGAACAGGTCCCCACCGCTCAGTGCACAGCAGGTGGCTGCGGCTCTGCGCAGTGGGTGCTGCGTGCCGGCCCTCACTGGGCAGAGCACCAGGCCCTGCTCTGTGCGGGCCAGAGGGTCCCTGGTCTTAGGGTAGTCACAGGGCATTTTACCTGTGAAACGGGGTAAACATTTGGGCGCATTAATGAAGAAGGTGCTTCTCCCCTCCTAAAATCTATAAGTATAATAAAAAAAAATCTGTAAGTATAAGAAGGTCCGTTTCCCGGAGTGATTTCTTGCCTTCTGTCTATTTCTGTGGTGAATGCATGTCCCCTGTAACAAAAATTTCTCTCTAAATTAATAAAGGACCCCGCTGGGCTGGCCCAGCGCACAGTGCTTTAAGGGAGCTGGACCTGACATGGCTGCATGCAGCTCAGATCCCAGTCCAAGGGGTAAGAAACACACTGGGGGTGCGTGCCCAGAACCCCGCTGAGATGGAGAAATGGAGAAGGGGCGACTGAAGGGGCGACTAGCGACCATGCCCCGTGGGGTTGCACACTCCCTCTCCTGTCGCTGTCAAGCACGTGCAGTCTCTGGTCACTGAAGAGCTGAAGAGCACCTGCTAAGCTGTGTCCAGGTTCCTGACCTACAGAAACTGTGATAGGTGGTGTATTGCTTTCAGCTACTAAATTTAAGGCAATATCTTTTAAAAATAATTTATTTATTTAATTGCATTTGTTATTAATATTTCTTTAATTTGACCAGCAAGAGATAGTTAAGAGAGAGAAAGGGAAAGTGAGAAAGCAAGCTGCCAGGTTTAGGACCCAAACTACAGTCTGCCATGTGGAGTCCAGCGCCTTTAACCACCACGCCACCTGCTGGTCCCTTAAGGCAATACATTACAGAGCGATGGATGACTGCTACAGTTCCACAGCTTGGGAAGATGAGTACTACCTAAGTGAGGCTTTAAGTAACTGAGAAGCTGAGATGCCTTGGCTCAATCAGAAGTGAAAACACAGCTCAAGGTGTTAAGTGTGAGCTTCTCTAAGAAAGGGAAGCTGCCAAGACGGAGGCAGGAGACTACCAGCTGGAAACACGTCTAGAAGACAAGACAACCAGGGCCGAGTTAGAATGTGACCGGCTTCGGTCATTTCCTAAAGGCTCAGCGAGGTCTACAGAGAACAGGTCCCCACCGCTCAGTGCACAGCAGGTGGCTGCGGCTCTGCGCAGTGGGTGCTGCGTGCCGGCCCTCACTGGGCAGAGCACCAGGCCCTGCTCTGTGCGGGCCAGAGGGTCCCTGGTCTTAGGGTAGTCACAGGGCATTTTACCTGTGAAACGGGGTAAACATTTGGGCGCATTAATGAAGAAGGTGCTTCTCCCCTCCTAAAATCTATAAGTATAATAAAAAAAAATCTGTAAGTATAAGAAGGTCCGTTTCTAACCGTTTGCAGCGAAGATGGCTGGGCCCAAGCAGCAGCCACAGGGGCCCTGAGCGCCTTCCCTGACGAGGCGGCCCAGGGTCAGCAGCAGCCACAGGGGTCCTGAGCGCCTTCCCTCACACGCGGCCCAGGGTCAGCGGCAGCCACAGGGGCCCTGAGTGCCTTCCCTGACGCGCGGCCCAGGGTCAGCGTAGGCTGAACTGTGAGGTTTACGACCGTCCTCCCTGGTTATCCTGACACCACCGGACCCTCTGGTAAGTTCCCCGCGGAGTTCCCAATGCTTATTTCCATCCAGGACTGCCCGTCTGGAAGCAGGCTTTCTCCTGACTAAAAACCTGGCCACAGAGAAACCAGCACATCTGTAACGTTGAAATGCTCTTCACACATCGCCACAACCCGTTCTTTATGGTCACACTCAAGGGCCACTCCCCGAGGCCTCTCCAGGTTGGCCCTGCCTGCTCCCGCCCCTCAGAGCCCTCTCTGCTCTCTGCCCCACCGCATCACTGCCCGTCCCCGTCTCACGCTACATCACGGTTACTGTGCCGGACTCGCTCAAGAGCCCGCAAGTCTCAGCAGGTGCACTGCTGCTCAAGGTGGCACTGTGTCCATCACCTCAAATCTTGGCCATTGTCATCAGAAGCAACGTCTTCCACGTGTACCTGGTCACACTCCTGTTAAAAGACAAAACACGCCACTTCAGTGCAGGAAGCAGAAGTGCTGTCACCACCAGGACCTGTCATAGAAGGAGCACACACGTGACAGGAGGAGGTAGGCGTGTGGGCTCTCAGGTGTGCGGGGTTGCTCTCGCCCCTCGCTGTCGACGTTAACACCCACAGTCTGGGGGAAACCTTCCCTCCATCGCCCCAGCCCTCAGCTGGGCCCTGATCTCAATGGCTCGTTTCTCCAGCGGCTGAGGGGAAGAGGCACGAGCTCCCTCCCTCCGCTAGGGCGTCTGAACCCTGCCCTGGACAGGACGTCCTGCCCCCGGCAGGTCTCTTGGGCACCTTCCTAGCCCAGCCAGCAGCTCACGCAGCATGTGCCCGGCCATCTGTACAGACGTGCCGGCGTGTGTGGTCAGAGCTGAGGACGGCTGGGTTCACACCGAGAGTCATCTCCTCACGTTCTAGAAAGGAGGTGAAAAGGTTTTTCTCAAGGTCACATAACTAGAGAGGGTAGGAAAAGAGATCAAGAACCGACCTAGGCATTCTGCTTCGACTCCATGGTTCTGTCCACCAAGCCCACAGGACTCCCCAGCCACGGCCTAACTCTGACACCACCTACGGCACCTGCACCAGACTTCTCGGGATGTTTTTGAAAATGCATGTCCTTGGGTCCAACCCAGATCTGTCTGCCAGAATTTCTGGGAGTGAAACCCTGGAGTCTCCATTTTTAAGAAGCACCCCAGGTGATTCTTTTTTTTTTGAGAGGTTTTTGCTGTAGTGCGCGTGCACTCACCAGAGAGAGAGAGACATAGACAAAAAGCGAGAAATCACCCCGCAGGGGGGATGGTCACGCGGCAATCCCTTCTCCTCCATTCTCCTCTCGGGATCTTGGGCACGCACACACGCACATGTGCCTGGCCTGAGTTTAAGCTGCCGGGTCCGGGACGTGAACCGCGGTTGACTACGTGGGAGTCCAGCGACATAGCCATTACTCCAGCTGCTGGTCCCTCCAGGTGATTCTTATGCCCCTAAAGTCGGGATCACTGACCTGGGGGCAGATACACACTCCTGAGTGAGGACTACGTCTAGAAAATCATTATGCATATAATCTGGCAATAGTTATTTGCACACAGTCTGTTTTCAACAAGTGTTTGCTGAATGAAAACTATGATGTTCTAACTTAGCAGCGCACGTGGCTGAGGGAAGAGTAAAGCACTAGAGTTTAGTCAGAACACTGCAGCTGGGAGCCCCCTGAACGTAGTGTGTTGGAGGATTTCGTAGAACAGAATTTACTTAAAAAGCAGGTATTTTAAAAGAAACAGGAATACTTTGTGTTTGTAAAATGCTGTTTTACTTTACAATATCCTATTTAAAAACTAGGTCATCTAGGGAGCACAGAGCTCAGTTTCAGGACGCGGGAGGTGCAGAGCCTGCTGCCTTCTGCTGCGACCAGGCTGCCTGTGCCCGCAGGCAGGGGCTGCTTAACTGAGGCCCTGACAGGGACCCCGTCCTGACGCCTGCTCCTTGAGCCGTGCTCTTGCCACGACATCACATTCACCTCAAAGGTGACTCAAACGTCAAAGTCCAAACGCCCCCACGGACCTCAGTGCCCTGGCTTTCCAGAGAGCTGCCTACAACACGGTCTGCACATCAAGAGCCTGTCCGAGGTCAGTAAGTCCACGCACAACAGGACGGGGCATGAAGTGGTTGGGAAGCCACGCTGCACTTCTGCACAGAAAAACGTCCTGACTTTCCTGATGGGACAAGTCACATGATTATCTTCCTGTTTTGTTTGTTTTGTTTTTTGGCCATCGGGTGCATGCACTTACTGGAGAGAGAGGGAGAGAATGGGAAAAGAGAGAGGGAGAGTGAGAGATCAACCCACAGAGGGATGGCCACGCCGCAGTCCCTTCTCTTCCATCCTTTCATGATTCTGGTCAGCCACACACAGTGATTCTGAGCTCCGGGACTGATTTTGGATCGTGGACAGCCACGTGGGAGTCCAGCACCTTAACTACCATGCCACCTGCTGGCCCCAAGAGACTACATTTAACAATTATTATTATTATTTTAATAATTATTTATTTTATTTATTCATTTATTTCTTAATTTGATCAGAGAGAGACAGAGGGAGTGAGAGAGAGAGGAAGTGAGAAAGCAAGCCACCAGATTCAGGACCTGAACCCTGGTCAGCCATGTGGGAGTGTCCAGCGCCTTAACCACCACGCCACCTGCTGGTCCCAATTATTATTATTTTTTTAAAGAGATTTTTGATCTAGGGTGTGTGCACTTGTTAGACAGAGAGTGGAGTGGGAGGGAAAGTGAAAAATCACCCCCCAGCGGGGGGATGGCCATGCCGCAATCCCTTCTCCTCCATTCTACTTCTGGGATCTTGGGCACGCACGCACACGCACCTGGCATGAGTTTCAAGCAGTGGGTCTGGGATGCAAACCATGCTAAACCATATGGAAAGTGCAGCAACAGAACTGCTCTGCCATCTGCTGGTTCCCCAAGACTATCTTTTAAGAAGGTAAAACTGAACAAGCAAAATACAATTACGTGTACAAATAGGACTGGCAGGTTATGTGGTGGTTGGGGGGCACTGGACTCCCACGCAGTCAACTGTGGTTTGAGTCCTGGACCTGGCAACTTTCTCACTTTCTCTCTCTCTCACTCTGTCCCATTCTGTCAAGTTGAAATGAATGAATAAATAAATAAATAGTGAATAAAATAATTCTTTGTTTTTTTTGTTGGGGGGGAGGTTTTTGCTATAGGGCGCGTGCACTTGCCAGAAAGACAGAGAGAGACAGAGAGACAGAAAGCGAGAAATCACCTCCCACACCACCATCCCTTCTCCTCCATTCTCCTCTCAGGATCTTGGGCACGCATGCACACACGCCCAGCGTGAGTTTTAAGCCACAGGGTCTGGGACCCAAACTGCAGTCGACTACATGGGAGTCCAGCGATATAGCCATTTGACTGACTGTTGGTCCCATGAATAAAATAATTCTTTAGGAAAAAATTACAAATAATCAAATCCAATCTATCCACACTATTCAATAGAATTAATAAACTGGAATACAGGTTTATACGTCAATGTTTTGTCTGATAAGGTTGTGTTTCCCTAGTACTAGAACAGATCACTTTGAAGCAAGCTAAAAAACATCACATTTTGCGCGTCAATAAATCAGGACCAGAAACAAGACTGTGGTAGCCCAACTACCCCTCTAAGATGGCGCATGCCTGGGTGCCAGGGGGCCTCTGCGCACTACCCTGTGGAATCACGCACCCGCAGAGTACAGCATGCAGGCCTAGGCAGTCACTGAGCAAGACATCTCCCCGAAGCACAGGAACAAGGGGAGTGCTCACCTCCAAGTCATTGAAGAACAGGTGTGTGTCAGCCACTTCAAAGATCATCTCTTCCATCGTCAGACCCGAGCCAATAACTACTGTTGGGTCCTAGAAGGCAGTAAGAGAAAACGGACTTGACTTACAGCTTCTGGCGCTAGTTCTGAGCTACAAATACTTCAAAATTATTTTGGGTAAAGGTCAAAATAACATGGGCCCAAAATAGTGCTTCAAACGATCATTAATGCAATTCCATCCACAGTTACAAGGCTCTGGAGTTGAGCAATAGAGAAGATATGGACAAGATTTCAGCCAGCAGGGGATGTGGTCGTTAAGGCACTAGACTCCCACATGACTGAGTCTGAGTCCCGGACCTGGTGGCTTACTTTTTCATTCTCCGAGCACCACCCCCCAATTAGGTGAATTATTGTTATGACAAGTATAAATAAAATGATTCTTAAAAAATTAATTTTAGGATTTTTGTTTTTAGAAACTAGTTGTTTCAGGACCAGGAGGTGGCATGGTGGTTAAGGTGCTGGACACTCCCACATGGCTGACAACGATTCGAGTTCGAGACCTGGTGGCTTGCTTTCCTGCTACCCTGCTACCCACCCTGTGTGTCTCTCTCTGGTCAAATTAAAATAAATGAATGAATAAATCAAATTAAATAAATAATTCTTTTCTTTTTTTTTTTTTGTAGAGGTTTTTGCTATAGGGCACATGCACTCGCCAGAAAGACAGAGAGACAGAAAGCAAGAAATCACTCCCCAGTAGGGATGGCCATGCCACAATGCCTTCTTCTCCATGCTCTCGGGATTTTGGGCATGCACGCACACGCACCCGGCATGAGTTTAAGCCACCGGGTCTGTGACTCGAACCACGGTTGGCTACATGGAGGTCCAGTAACAGCCATTACACCAATTGCTGGTCCCTAAATAAGTAATTCTTAAAAGAAACTAGTTGTTTCATAGCACTAACAAAGCCGCAGAATTCTATTAAAAACAAACTGACTGTGTTACAGTGAGAAGTCACAGTCACCATTTCCCTTTCATGCTCTGATACCACTTAAAAGAAATCCACTTAATCTTTCTGGGAAATTCCCTGTTCCAGAGGAAATCCTAACTATTGCTAAAATAGTGCTATTTTTATACCCATTATTTTTCTAGCATGTACACACACACACACACACACACACACACACACACACAGTCAATTCCTAAAAATCTCATCAACCAGGAAGTTAAGAAAGGTGGAAGGATTGAATTATTTACAGAAAAATCAATATGAATTGCTATAAAATAAACCACCAGGGGCCTGCCAGTGTCATGGTAGTGAACGGTGCTGAACTCCCACAGGGCCAACCATGGCTGGAGTCCTGGACCTGATGGCTTGCCTTCTCAATTTCTCTTTCGCTCTTCAAATTTAAAATAAAGTTAAAAAAAAAAAAAGAAAAGAAAAGGTCAGCCTAGCTACTGAGGTGCAGTGGTAACACAAGGAGTAGCAAGATGAAGCCATGGAGCCAATTGTAGGTGCACATCCCCTGGCAGGCTTGGAGACATGCTCAGTGCCCTCCTGGGTGCCCGGGATGCTGAGCAAGCTGGGAAGTAGACTGTAGTATGAACAACACCCTGTTGAGGGTGCTTCTCTCCTTACACACATGCATTAAAAAAAAAAAAGCCAAGACCAGCAAGTGGCATAGTGGTTAAGGTGCTGGACTACCACATGGCTGACCATGTTTCGAGTCCCGGACCTGGTGGTTTGAAAATTATGCCAGGCGCATGTGCATGTGTGCCTGGAATCAGAGAGGAAAAGGGATTGCGGTATGGCCATTCCACCTAGGTGTAATTTTACTTTCCTTGTCATTGTCTCTCTCTTTGTCAAGCATGCACCCTGTGGCAAAAGACTTTAAAAAAAAAAAAAAAAACAAAAAACAATAAAAAGCTTGCGGGGGTGGGATGGGGACCAGTAGGTGGCATGGTGGTTAAGGTGTGGGACACTCCCACATGGCCAACCATGGTCTGAGTTCTGGATCTGAAGGCTTGCTTTCTCACTCTCTCTTTTTTTTCTCTCTCTCTCCCTCCCTGTGTTTCTCTCTCTAATCAAATTAAAAAAAATGAATGAATAAATAAAATTAAATAAATAATTCTAAAAAAAAAAAAAGAAAAAGAAAAAAAAGCTTGCGGAGTCAGTCAGTTGCACAGTGGTTAAGGCGACTAGATTTCATATATCTGACTTGGCAATTCAAGTCCTGGGCCCAGTGGCTTTAAAAAAACTCTCGGCGCACGCGGCTGAGTGCCCAAAATCCTGAGAGGAAAATGGAGGTGAAGGGATAGTGGTGTGGCCAGCCCAGGCGCAGGTGCATGAGTGCCCAAAATCCTGAGAGGAAAATGGAGGTGAAGGGATAGTGGTGTGGCCAGCCCTCCACATGGGGGACAGGAATGGAGGAATGGGAAAAGACTTCTCACTTTATCTATCTCTGGTGAGTACATATACCACACTGTGTAGAGCGGCCATCAGACACATGCAGAAATGAGGTTCTGTGAGCTTTATTTGCATAGCAATGAAAGCAATTAACAGAGAAATACACTAGCTGCATACTGTTATTAATACTGCAGAGCAGTATCAGATTAAAGGAAGTCACATGTGCGAATCAGAATCAGCCCCAAAAGATCAAAGAAATCACATGGTGCTAGTCATTTTTGCATCAGTCAACTAACATTTGAAATCAACTGGCTTTGCAATCCATTTCCTCTTCCTCCATTTTCTGCCCTATAAAATAATAAATCCGAGGCTGGTTTGTGGTCGTGGCGTTCTCCATCAGAGAAGTCGGGCCTACCTGAGCCTCACTTTAATATACTGTATATCGATGTGTGTTTATTTTTATGTTTATTTATAATCCACAGCACCGCCTACTCAGAAAAACATGTTCTGCCAAGCTGGTACTGACACCCCATAGCAAAAATAAAATGCAGTAGGCTCTTCTTTCTCTATAGAAGAAAATATATGTTTATATGCCAAGATCCAAAGATGTGATTATCATTGATCACAACAGTAAACTGTGTCATAATAAAAATATAGCCACTTGGGGGCCAGCAGGTGGTGTGGTGGTTAAAGGTGCTAGATTCCCACGTGGTCAACTGGTTTGAGTCCCGGACCAGGCAGCTTGCTTTCTCACTTTCTCTCTTTTTCTGTCCTTCTCTGGACCAATTAAAATCAATAAATAAAGTTAAATAAAAATAGTTCTTAAGAAAAAAAACAAACTAAGTAAATAAATAAACGAATAAACCACAAGTCCATATGCTCTTATTTTATATACCTGTATGACAAGCTTAGTTACAGTCTGAGTTTATGTCAGCCTGCCAGCCTGGTGCGGAATGGCTGTGGGAGAACCTTCTAACAGAAATATTAGTGACAGTGCAATATAACCAGAGGTAGGAAGACAGTCAAGGCAGTGTATTTCTTTCTTTCTTTTTTTCAGAGAGAAATTTTTGCTATACGGCATGCATGTTCACCAGAGACAAAGTGAGAAATTGCACCCACCCCCAAGAGGGTATGGCTACACCACGGTCCCTTCTTATCCATTCTCTTTCTGGAATTTTGTGCACACATGCACCGGTGCCCAGAGTGGAGTTTCAAGCCCCTGGATTAGGGACTCAAACAAAGGCGGGACATGTGGACGTCTGGAGCCTTACCCACCGTGCCACCTGCTGGCCCCAAGAGGATGACAGTCTTATAAAACTTATTCATAGACAGCCGGCCCCACAGCATAGTGCTAAAGGGCTGTGCAGAGATTAGATGCCACACAGTTGACTGGGGTTCACACCTGGACCCTGGTGGTAATATGCCAGGCAGGCACGCACACTCTGAGGAACCTGAAGGGATGGTAAATCGAGCAAGGAAGATTCCAGCATGATCAGTCACAGTGGTGGGAGTGGGAGTCCTTTCTCTTTCACATGCACACGCATGTGTTCAATCGGGAAGAAAAAAGTTTTTTTTAAAAAATGTATTCACTGGGGGAACCAGCAGTTAGCGTAATGGCTATGTCGCTGGACTCCCACGTAGTTGACCGTGGTTCGCGTCCCGGACCTGGTGGCTTAAAACTCACGCCGGGCGCCTGTGCGTGCATGCCCAAGATCCCGAGGGGAGAATGGAGGAAAAGGGATTGTGGTTGGGCCATCCCCCCTGGGGGGTGATTTCTCACTTTCTGTCTCTCTGTCTCCCCGTCCCCTATAGTGAAAACCTCTCCAAAAAAAAAAAAAAAGTATTCACTGGGACCAGCAGTTAGCTTAATGGCTATGTCGCTACACTCCCATGTAGTAGACCGCGGTTCACGTCCCTGACCTGGTGGCTTAAACTCACGCCAGGCGCGTGTGCGTGCATGCCCAAGATCCCGAGAGGAGAATGGAGGAGAAGGGATTGAGGTTGACCATCCCCCCTGGGGGGGTGATTTCTCACTTTCTGTCTGTCTCTGTCTATCTGGTGAGTGCACGCGCTCTATAGCCAAAACCTCTTAAAAAAAAAAAAAAGAAAAGAAAAGAAAAAGTATTCACAGAAACTGACAAGAGCCAGGACGTTAGTTAGTGTAAAATATAGTCTTAACCTTTTCAGAACAGCTTATCTGCCAGATAAACTGATATTTATGCCAAATATCAAGCAAGTTAAAATTTGTATGGTTTATTTAGCTTAAAAAGGCATGTATATGTATTTTAGAAGTATGGCTAATCTATGTATTTTAATGATCTACATCTGAAACACATGTGACTAAACAAAATGCTCAATTTGGGCTGTTAAAAGCAACTGAAGGGCTAGCAGGTTGAATGTGGGGGGCAGGGAGGGGAAAGCAGCAACTTAAGTGGGGGCCAGAAGGTTGTGGTAGCTGGGCACTGGGCCAACCACAGTTTGAGTCCTGGACCTGGAGGCTTTCTTTCTCAGTTTCTTTCTCTCTCTGGTAAGTGCACATGCCCTGCAGCAATAAAAAATAAACAAACTTTAAAAGTGATAAACATTAAATAAAGCTTTAAAAAGATATAAAGTAAAAGCAAAGGAAGGGGTAACAGGCTGGCCTGGCATATCTAACCCTGAGAAGACGCTGTGTGGGTCTTGTTCCTCACTTCCACTGTCACACAATGGGAATCTCAGCCAATAGCAGCTCTCAGCACTGCGTCCAAGTTTAGGCTCTACACGGACCATCAGATGTGCCTGACCAGGGCATCTGCCCCCCGTGAGTCATCTGGTGAAGTCTGACATGGGAAGTCAAAAGCCAATAGGGCAGAAGACCTGGTTACCTTTCCATACTTCTGAGCATAGGATCCAGTAAGCAGAGAGTGGAAGATGATGATGGTTTCATCCAAGTCCCACAGAAATACCCGCTATGGGAAGAAAATATAAAAACAGTGAGCACAGTGGCGTGGCACTACCCCGAACACTCCGTTAGGCTGACCCACATGGGAAGGTCTGAAGTGCAAGCACTGAGACCTCCCTGAGCACGCCCGGCACACGCGTGTCTATACTCCGGGGCAGGAGGAGGGTCAGAGTGTTAAGACTTTGTCAGGCGCTCTCCCTGTCTCTGGCTCACGAAGGTACAAGTAAATGGGTGCGTCGTACACAAGAACACGAGTGGGACTGGCAGATGGCGTAATGTTTACATGGCTGGACTCCCACCTGGGAGCTCCCAAATGCAGTTCCAGGACCGGAACTGGAGACTCAAAGCTCACGCCAGGCATGTCTATATGCGTGCCCCAAATCCCAAGAGAATGAAGAAAAAGGGACTGTGGCGTGGCCATTCCCCCGCCAGGGGGTGATATCTGTCTCTCTCTGATGAGCACACTCGCCTTATAAGCAAAAATCTCTCCAAACAAACTCCCAAGTAAAAATAATGAGTATTTTTTTTCAATCATAATGGAAGGAAATGAAAAATCAGGGCTGGCACTGCTGCCTAATGATTAGAAAAGCTGGATCCTACATGGCCAAATTCACAGTTCAAATCCCAGCCTCATTGTCCTGAAAAACATGCTGGGAGCATGTGCACGAAGGCCCAACGTCTGGAAGAGAAGGGACTGCAGCATGGCTGTGCCTACTGCAGGCGTATTTTCTACCTCTGTCTCTCTGACAAGCACATGTACCGTAAGGTAAATTTAAAAAAGGGTTAAAAAGAGTATTAATAAAGGAAAACTTAAAATTTACAAATATGTGAAAATTAAATGGCACAAAATGTTTCTTTCTTTTTGTTTTTAGTTTTTGCTGTGGGGTATGTGTACTTAGCAGAGAGAGACAGACAGACAGAGATGGGGAAAGTGAGAAATCACCCCAGAGAGGATGGCCAAGCCGCAATCCCTTCTCCTCTTGGGATTCTTAGCATGCACTTATGGGCTTAGCCTGATTTTCAAGCCAAAGGGCCTGGGACTCGAACCTCATAGTTAGCCATGTGGGATAGAGCTGCCTGAACCACCAAGCCACCTGCTGCCCAAATGGCACAATCTTAAACAATCAATGGGTCAAAGAAGAAATCACAAATGAAATTAGAAAACACTTTAAGCTGAATTAAAATAACACCATGATATATTAACTCTTAAAAAATAATACAGTAAAAGTAGTACTAAGGAGTCAGAAGGAAGCATAGTGGTTAAGGTGCTGGATTCCCATATGGCTGACTGTGGCTCAAGTCCCAGACCTGGTAGCTTGCTTTCTCACTTTTTCTCTCTCTCTGGTGAGTGCATGTGCCCTATAGCAAATTAAAAATAAAATAAAATAAGACCAAAAAAGCAGTCCAAAAGGGAAATTTATAGCTGTAAATGCACATTAAAAAAGAAGATACGGGGACCAGCAGATGGCATAGTGGTTACATCACTGGACTCCCACATGGTTGACTGCAATGTGAATCCTGGATCTGGTGGCTTGAAAACCATGCTGAGCGCATGTGCATGCGTGCCAAAAACCCTAGGGGTAGAGTGGAGGAGAAAGGACTGTGGAGCAGCCACCCCCCTGGGGGTGATTTATAACTTTACTTTTCACTATCTCTGTCTTTGACTCTCTCTCTGGCGAGCACACGCACCTTAAGGAAAAAAAAAAAGATAGCGGGGACCAGCAGATGGTTAAGGTACTGGACACTCCCACATGGACAGCCACGGTTTAAGTCTCAGACCTGGTGGCTTGCTTTCTCACTTTCTCTCTCCCTCTCTGGTCAAATTAAAATAAATGAATGAATAAATAAAATCAAATAATCCTTAAATAAAAAAAAAAGACAGCATTAAAAAAATAGTAATAACTCAGTCAAATCAGATCTACAGTCTAATTTGCACAACTTGAAGAATTAGGGGGAAAAAAGAGCAAACTAGATCTAAAGCCAACAGAAGGAAGGAAACCGAGGCTAGAGCAAAGGTAAATATTGCTAAAACAGAGAAACAATGGGGAAAAATCAGTGAGATGAAAAGACTCAAAGTACTAATATCAGGAGCGATTTTACAGAAATAAAAAGAATGAGCAGAGAATACCGTGAGTAGTTGCGGAGGGGCCACTCCTCGCGGCCCTGTGCCTTCTGACCACACTTGCCCTCCTGCCCTCCTCTGAGGTCGGAAGCGTAGCCTACTCTCTCCGTTAGGAGGTTATCTGCTCAACTAAACCAAGCCAAGATTTTTCAGTGCTGTTGGTAAAAGCAACTAGGAAGGCTGCAAGTTGCAAACATGCAGAAATGCGCCTTTACACTTTGTTTTCACGTGGCTGGTTTCTTCTGTTTGGGAGTTCAAGGGCACCCCCAGTACCTCCGTGAGTTTTAGACACAGGCCTGGTCGACCTGACAGGTGAGAAGTGATAGCAAGTGCAGCTCAGAGCCCCCTGTACCTCCAGCTCACTGTCCTGGGGAGAACTGGCGTCAGCTTTCCTCTTGCCGCGGTTCTTGCCAGGCATGTGTTTCCTGGACGGATCCTCCGCATCCTTACTGGGTGCAGTCTGGGCCAAGGATGGGCTTGCAGAAGGGTCTCCTGGAAAGGAAAGGCGGGACGTGTGGCCAGTGGTCACAGGCCACCAGGACCAGTGCAGGAGGGCAGCAGGTTCTCTACCCATCCGAGTCACCCAGCGAGGGCAAAGGCTGGAAAACGAAGCTTCCCAGTACGCGGGAAGGATGCGGGAACGAGCTAGCTCCAGATTTCGCACGCTCGCCTCCTGGTGGAAGAACACTCTGTGAGGGCGTTCTATTAAAAACAAACAAAACCCAACAGGGACCCTGCATCTGGTCGCTTCCAGATCAGGGCCTCTCACTGACACAGCCAACATCCTGGCCAGGTAACGTCTGTGGGGACTCAGCGTGCACTGTAGGGCATCAGCAAGGATGGGTACCACAGCCTCCACCCACGAAAGGCGAGCAGCACCCCTCACCGTGTTACAGACAAGGATGCGTCAGCACGCTGCCCTTTGCCCCTGGGGGCGGGTCGCTATGCAGGGCCCGCTGACTGAATCCAAGTGAGCACAGAAGACAGCAGCCATGCACGAGCACGAAGAGCACGAAGAGCGAGACGGCAAAGTCCAGGCTGAGGCATGCAGGATAGGCCACTTTCTTCCACCGACAGACGAGAAGGGAAAGTGAGATGGAAGGAATCTTATTTGAATCCTATTTTTTCTCCCTCAAATTTTATCTATTAATTCAACGACTGACTTTAAACCCACAAATAAAAACACTGTGTCCTCACCATTTACATGCTGTTTTGAATGATGAACACAGAGGGAGCAGCCTGGGCCCCATTTTGAGATGGGACAAGGCACTTTGCTCACGTTAAGGAGTGCCCATCTCTTAGAGGCCAGGGCCTGCAGGCTGAGGGGACTGGATGAAGTACACAGGACATAAGATGATCTCCGAGTCAGTCGGGGCGGAGGGCGATGAGTGTCGGCCTCTGTGTTTGAGACCCTCCACCACTTGGAGCAGTTGTGAAGAGCAAAGAGAGGCGTGAATACAAACTAAGGCAAGGTCACTTGGACTGTGTCAAAGCTGCGTAAGCGAGGCGCAGCCTCCACCTGCCAGTACCCTACCAGACCGGCAGGAGCGCGGGCTGCAGAGTGCTGCAGCTGATGGACAGCAGCGTGGCTGAACGTGGAACGCCCACGGCCACTGCGCTTTCCTCATGTTCCGTGACGCAACAGCCAGGCACCAAATTCTTATCAAACAGATAAATAAAAGTATGTGCATATTTGTATTTGGATATAGGTAGAAACCTTTTAGACAAGAGGTTTAATGCCTGGACATCATACTTGGATACATCTCAGAGCCGTGAACCTAAAATGGCATGTGAGATTTATGTATTCTGGGCCCAGCAAGTGGTGTGACAGTTAAGGCACTGGACTCCCACACTGCCACCACCACTTGAGTCCCAGCTGCAGTGGCTTGAAAATCACGCCAGGTGGGACCAGCAGTTAGCGTAATGGCTATGTCGCTGGACTCCCACGTAGTCGACCGCGGTTCGTGTCCCGGACCCGGGGGCTTAAAACTCACGCCGGGCGTGTGTGCGTGCGTGCCCAAGATCCCGAGAGGAGAATGGAGGAGAAGGGATTGCGGTGAGGCCATCCCCCCTGGGGGGTGAATTCTCACTTTCTGTCGCTCTCTGTCTGTCTGGTGAGCGCACGCACCCTATGGCAAAAACCTCTCAAACAACAAAAAAACAAAGAAAATCATTCCAGGCACGTGTGCCCAGAATTCTGAGAGGAAAATGCAGGAGGGGGGACTGTAGCATGGCACTCCCCAGTGGGGTGATTTCTCGCTTCCCCCCCTGTTTCTAACTCTCCAGCAAGTACACACGCCCTGTGGCAACTCTTACCCCCACATAATAACTACTGGTCCTTCACTATTCTGGGGGAAAGGACGACAGCTCTCCTGAGAATCTTGAAGGGATCCAAAGAACTACTGTTCTGAAGCTTCGGTAGGAGTCCAAAATACACTCAGACTAAAACCTGAGTCCTTCAGCTTCGACAAAATACGCCAAAATTCTGAAGACACTGTGTGACGAGTCTGCTAAGCCCGCACAGGGCAGGGTGAGAGCCGGAAATGCAGTCGTTTCGGGCCGGCCGGGTGGTGTGAGGCTGGGGCATTGGGGTCCCACACAGCCGACCTCACAGCTGAGCCCCAGCCCCAACAGCCTAAGAAAACGCAGTGTGTATGCAGGCAAATGGCCGGACTCCTGGGAAGAGTGGAGGGAGGGACTGCAGTGTGGCCCTTCTCCCTGGGGTGATTTCTCACTTTGCTTTCCTTGTCTCTCTAGTGAGCACACACGACTCCAGCAGACTAAACGAACGAACCCCAGCCTTCCCCGCCTGGTGTTGTACTGCCCCCAGCATCACGAGTGCACTCCTCACCAGCCACAACCGACCCCGCACCGTCCACGTACCCTTCACCTGCGAGCACGCCAATAGCACGGTCAGCAATCAGGCCGGGACAGAAGCCCCCCTACCATCACCTGCAAACAGCTGCTGGACAAGGTGCTCTCAGAGCCGCGGTGCTTACCAGAAGGCAGTCTCGGCGCCGCAGGCCCAGGCGCCATGACGGCAGGCCTCTCCGTCTGGTATGTGCCCACGGCTAGCGCAGTGTTCTCGGAGTCGCTGCCGGTCTGGCCCGGGACTGCAAAGCTGGAGCTGGGGTAGCAGGCCTGATACTGACTCTGACCAAGGACAGTATAGGTAGGGTAGTCCTGCAGGACAAAGGGAACAGGGAGGAAAACAAGACTCGGCTTTCAGCCCTCACTCTTTCATAATTAGTTTTGTAAGTCGTAATCCGACTTCTCATTTATCTACCTGGCAGTGACTCAGGAACGGTCCCTGGAGTGGGGCGGTGCAGTGTGCACTCACATGCATGAAGGTGTGCAGTGTCCTTGCCTCTACTCTGAGGACCTGCCCCCACTGTATGTGCTAGAGTTCTGAGTAAACTTCCCCACATGTTTTTTAAGAGAGACTTTTGGTATAGAGTGCATGTGCTCGCCAGAGAGACAGAGAGAGAAAGTGAGAAATCACCCCCAGGAGGATGGCTATGCCACAATACCCTCTCCTCCATTATCTTCTTGGGGTTTGGGGCACACATGCATACGTGCCCAGTGTGAGTTTAACTTGCAGGGCCCAGGACTCAAAGTGTGGCCAACTATGTGGGAATCCAGTGATGTTACCATTACACCATCTGCTGGTCCCTGGGCAGAATTTTGGAAGGAAATATTCTACTCTTTAAAAAGTTTTAAAATCAGAGCACTAGATTCTGTCCTTGACAGAAAAACAAAAACAGTACATAGTCTACATAGACATTTCTTAGCTTAATATATTGGGAGAAAACTTGAGGGACATATATGGCAAATGTTCTTCAACCACGACATTTAAATTGATGTAGTTTACTGTATGCCAATTACACCTAAGAAAGCTGTACAAAATAGGATAAAATACACAGATGAAATACACACCTTTAAAAATTCAATTGATACTGACAAGCAGTAAGAAGCTAGCTGATCAATTATCTAATTTTTTTTGTTGAGAGGTTTTTGCTATAGGGCGCATGTGCTTGCCACAAGACAGAGAGAGTCTGAGAGAGAGAAAGCGAGAAATCAACCTACAAGGGCATGGCCATGCCACAATCCCTTCTCCTCCATTCTCCTCTCGGGATCTTGGGCACGCACACGCATGAGTTTAAGCCGGCATGAGTTTAAGCCACTAGGTCCGGGACTTGAACCGTGGTAGATTACATGGGAGTCTAGCCACATAGTCACTATGCCAACTGCAGGTCCTGATCAATTATCTATTAATAGTCAGTGAGCGAAATACAGTTCATAGTGTGTGCGTTTGTGTGCGTGCATGCGTGTGCTTTCACATGAGCAGGAAGAGGGGATATTACATTGTGTGTGTGTACCTGTACATGAGCAGGAAGAAGGGATATTAGAGATGAAAAAATTCTACCACCAGAGGGGCCAGCAGGTGGCACGGTGGTTAAAGACACTGGATTCCCACACGGCCAACCGGAGTTAGAGTCCCAGACCTGTTGGCTTACTTTCTCAGTTTCTCTTTCTCTGTCCCTCTCTGGTCACATTGAAATAAACAAATGAATAAATAAAATTAAATGGAATAATTCTAAAAAACGGAGGAAAAAGTCCCACTAGCAGAACTCAATAATTTAAAACATTCTAGCTGAGGAGGGGCCAATAGGTGGCACAGTAGTTAAGGTGCTGGACACCCACATGGCCAACCATGGTTCAACTCCGAGACCCTCTAGCTTGAAAATCACGCTTGGTGCATGTGTGTGCCCAAAACCCAGTAGAAGAATGCCAGAGGGAGGCGTGAGGTGTGGCCATTCCCGCCGGGGGACCTCTCACTGTCGCTATCACTGTCGCCCTTTGGATAGAGCACATGCCCTACAGCAAAAACCTTAAAAAAGAAAAACTAGCAGGAGAGTAAACAAAAAATGTCTAATAAGTTATGTTTTAAATGGAAGAAGTACAGAGGGTGACCACTACCTCTATGGACTGGTGGCGAGAGAGCTTTCCAGATTAACGGGGAGAGGATGGAGGAATGAGAGTAGACCCTGAAACAGTAGATGCTGAGTCTGGCTAAAATAAAGGCTATCTGTAGATTTAAGTAGTGGCTGATTACATATTAACAGGACTTGAATCTTCTTTTCTTAAAGAAGTTTTTGCCATAGGGTGCATGTGCTTGTCAGGGAGAGAGACAGAGACTATGAGAGGGAAAGTGAAAAATCACCCCCCAGGAGAATGGGCATGCCACAATCCCCTCTCCATTCTCCTCCCAGGATCTTGGGCACGCACGCACATGCATCCAGAATTGAGTTTCAAGCCACCGGGTCTGGACTTAAACCGTGGTCAGCCATGTGGGAGAGTGCAATGATGCAACTGCTACCCCATCTGCCGGGCCTAAGACTGGAATTCTTTAGGCAACAAAATGCTGCTTGAGTGAGGGCAAGAAATGTGGACTCGGATTCAAAACTAAAATACAGAGATTAAGAGTCTGAGAGAATGATCGACACGCCTAAAGTGGCATTTATAAGAAATTAATCAGACTGTTTTAGAAAATGGACCAACACAAACAGAGTTGGGCATGAGCACTCAACCATGTAGAGTCAGGATTAAAACAAAAAGCAAATAAAATCCCCAAAACAACAACAGAAACAAAATAAGGGAAATGAGAGCAAAATGGAAAAGAAAGGGAAAAAGACCAGAAATGCCTAGAATAAAAAAGGGTAAGATAAAAAAAATGAGAGGTCTGATTTTAGGCCTAGGTTTATTACAAAAAAAAAAAAAAAAGTGTCAGGACCAGCAGATGGTGTAATGGTTGTCGTTGGACTCCCGTGTGGTTAACTGCGCTTCAAGTCCTGGACCAGCGGCATGAGTTGGGCATGTGTGTGCGTGTGCATGTGCCCAAGATCCTGAGAGGAGAATGGAGGAGAGGGGACTGCAGCATGGCCATCCCCCTGGAGGGCCCGAAGTGATTTCTCACTGTCTCTCTGGTGAGTACATGTGCCCTATAACAAAGGTGTCATTGACAAGAACTGAGAAGTCACTGCAAAGTGTCTTTACCTTTGGAGGACTAGGAAAGGGTAGAGCGAAAGCCTGGTCTTAGATAAGGTGACCTTAGGAAAATAGCCAGGCAGTCAGCTAAAAACACTGACCAAGCGGGGACTAGCAATTAGCATAATGGCTATGTCGCTGGACTCCCATGTAGTCAACCGTGGTTCACGTCCCGGACCCGGTGGCTTAAAACTTATGCCGGGCGCATGTGTGTGCATGCCCAAGATCCCGAGAGGAGAATGGAGGAGAGGGGATTGAGGCGTGGCCATCCCCCCTTGGGGGTGATTTTCTCACTTTCTGTCTCTCTGTCTTTCTGGTGAGTGCACATGCCCTATAGCAAAAACCTCTCAAAAAAAAAGGTCAAAGACCTTTATAAAGAAAACTATGAAAATCTTTAAAAAGATACTGAAAGTGACATTAAAAAGTGGAAGGACATCCCATGTTCCTGGATTGGGTGATTTCTCACTTTTGGTCTCTCTCTGTCTTTCTGGTGCGCGCACATGACTTACAGCAAAAACCTCTCCAAAAAAAAAAAGTTGACAGAAAATGGAATTAAAGTATCAGTTTATCGTGGGATATATTTCTTAATACCCACGTATAATTTATTGTAATGTGCATTTTTCTATGAAATTACGAAGACTGCTCATGTTATTGTACACACACGCACACCCAAATACATACACATGTATGTTTTGGTCTATGGTCCTCGGCTCCTACGTGGCCTTCTATGTTTGGTCCTGAAGCTCCCAAGGCAGGACACAGAGCTGGCTGTAAGGACTAAGACCTCATTCTGCAGCAGCCCTGCCCCACCCCAGGGGGAGCAGCACTGCGGACAGGCCCGAGGGTCTGCCTGGCAGGCCATGATGGGTCTCCAGTCAGCCTGCTCTATTCAGGGGTGTCCTCTGGCCCAGTTCCAGTTCAGTCAATACTTGGTAATGTAGGTTTCATAAAAACCCAAGACTGGGTTCAGGAAGCTTCTGGAAAGCTGAAGCACATGGCTGTTTCTAGAGGGCACTTGGGGGCAGGCTGGCGCTCAGCCCGCCCACATGCCATGTCTGTGCAGCTTGTCCACCATCTCCGCCCCTTCCGGTGAGGTGCTGACCATGTAGTGCGTGTCTCAGTTCTGGGGTCCACTCGTACAGGTGGGTCTGGGCCCTCGCTATCTTGAGGCAGTGTCAGAGTGAACCAGGGCTGGGAACCAGCAGTTAGCGTAATGGCTATGTCCCTGGACTCCCACGTAGTCGACCGTGGTTCACGTCCTGGATCCGGTGGCTTAAACTCACACCGGGCGCACGTGCGTGCGTGCCCAAGATCCTGAGAGGAAAATGGAGAAGGGATTGAAGCGTGAGCATCCCACCTGGGGGGTGATTTCTCACTTTCTATCTCTAACGTCTCTGTCTGTCTGGCGAGCGCACATGCTCTATAGCGAAAAACCTCTCAAAAAAAAAAAAAAAAAAGAATGAACCAGGGCTGATGTTTCCTGCAGAACTGCCTGCCTGCTTGCTGGTGAGGAGGACCTGCACACATTTTGGGACCGCAGGCGTGAACTGTTTCATGAGTACAGTAGGAGAAAGAGAAACTAAGTTCGTTTTTCATAGACTGTCCATGTTAAAAGACAGGGTTAAAAAAGTCATGAAAGGGAAAGCGTCTCTAGAAGAGTGCCAGGTGCACGGGTAGAAACTCAGTACTGCAAATGCGAGAACGGTGAACTACAGAAAATGAACCGTCACGATAATGTTAACTGCAGTAAGAAAAACGATCCATGGAAATAGTGGTCATACTAATTGCTGAGAGAAGACACCACAACAAAGACTAAACTCTAATGTGCCATTTTTCTAGTTTCTAGAGAACAAAACACCCAAAACACCAAGAGGAGCGTGGAGAAGGGACTGCGGTGTGGTCATGCCTCCTGGGGGATGGCGCGCTCCCTTTCTCTCTTGGGTGAGCACGTACCGCCTATAACAAATTTTAAAGAGACAGAGCCCAGGATAAACCCTTGCCTTCGTGGAGTCACATTCCAGTGGGGGGTAGGGGCAGAGAACAGGAAAAGCCACCATGGGGCCTAGGCCTGGTGGCAACTTGAAAAGGCCTCCTTAGCCCCCCCTGTTCCTGGTGGCTTCTTAGACAGACTGACTGATTGTGGAAGGGGGAGGAAGAGCAAGCTGGACGAACATACCCAGCAGGAAGGACAACACAGCACCGTACCTGGCTGGAGATGCTGGCAACCGCGGCTGCGGGAACACTGGCAACCGCCGATGAGGCAGGCATCAGGCTGGCATTTGTGCTCGAGGCTACAGGGTTGAGAACAGTAGACAGCGGTTACGTAAAAGGCTAGGAGGAGACGAAAGGTGTCATGTCTCAAGTGATCTACAAGGGGACGAAGAACATAGGCCAAGGAAACATCTGTGTTTTGCATGACAGATGTGAACTCAGTCTGGATTACAAAGACAAACATCTGTAACTCCAGCTTCGAGTCCTCCTCCTCAGTCCTGGAGGGAACACACACGACTCGCAGGGCCTAAGGGCGACCCCGGTGGAGCCCAGCATTCCTGAAGCGGAGCGGCTCATGTGCAGCGAGTCCCACACTGGGGTGGTGGTACCGTACTTGTCTCCATAGGCAACAGAACCACTTGGAAACTGTCATGTGCATGAACTGCTTTTCGGCTCTATTCAAATCATGGATTACAACACAGATGAGCAACACTGACTTGGCATTGAGAGGATGTACCCATGAGCTTGAAAACTCAGAAAATACTAACTTTTATTCTGGTCAAGACAAAGTATACTTTGTAATTGACTTGGGTCATTTAATTGACTGCCATCATTTGTCTTTTTTTTTTTTTCCTTCTTTATCAATTTTTTTTTTAAAGGTTACTCTAGGACTTAATGCACTCACGTAGAGAGAGGGAGAGAAAGAAAGGGAAACAGCATCCCTGGGTATGACCAGCTGTAATCCCTTTTCCTCCACCCTCCTCTCAGGATTCTGGGCATGCACACACATGTGCCTGGTGTGTTTCTCAAGCCATCAGGCCTGGAACAGAAATCATGCAGGCGACCGCATGGGACCTGCGCCTTGACCATTATGCCACCTGGTTGGCCAGGGCTACCTGTATTTCTAATTTTTTTTTTCTGTAGAGGTTTGTGCTTTGTTGGCGTGTGCACTTGCTGGGGAAAGAGATAGACAGTGAGAGGGAAAGTGAAAAATCACCCCCAGGAGGATGGCCATGCCACAACCCTTCCCCTCCCTGGACCTTGGGCACACATGCACGTACATGGACCCGGGATGTTTCAAGACACTGGGTCTGGGGCTCAGACTGCGGTTGGCCACGTGGGAGTCCTGTTACACCACCTGCTGGCCCCAGGGCTGCCCATCTAGCACAGAATTTGGACTGATGTGCATTTCCCATTACTGACTCTACCAGGGTTTTAACTCAAACTTCAGTGACCAGTATTCACCACAGTGACCTTTTCTGGGTGGACGTGGAAACTGATCCCATGAGATCCTAGCCTTGAATGCCCCCGTCTTATCGGACATGGTTACTACAGTAGTCACCCATACTTCAGGGTTCCCCATCAGGTAGACCAGTAAACTGCCTACCTAATTACCAACACAGTCCTCCAGAAAGAACGCTACCCGGAAACCTCCACTAAGGGTGGGCGAGGACCGAAGGCAAAAGGAACAGCACCACCAACAGAGCCAGAGAAGACAGTCAGCGACAGCTAAGGCCGCAGCCCACAGACAGAGCACCGGGACAGGAGAGCTCAAGGTCAGGACAGGCTGGTCTCCCGTCCTCCTCCAGTGCCCCTTCCTCAGGGCCGGCAGCTAGGCTAGGCACTACCTGACTGTCCAGGGCGGCTCTCCTCCTGCACTCCTGGCACCAGAGCGGAAAGACTCTGGGAGCTTACCTTCTTAAGTGAGACTAAGTGAAACAGACTTTACGCACTTACAGATTTCTCTGCCCTGTGGGATTCTTGTACATACACACGCATGCACCTACCGTGTTTTTCAAGCTAGTGGAACTGGGACCTGAACTGTGTGGCTGGCCATTTGTGGATCTGGTTGGCACACAAAAGCATTTTCTTCTCCTCAATAGTTACCCTTTTTTCTACTGTGGTTTAACCCATTCTTTTCTAAAGATGAAGTACTAAAATATGACAATACATGGGACCAGCAAGTGGCATCGTGTTTAAGGATACTGGACTCCCATATGGCTGACTGTGGTTCAAGTCCTGAACCTGGCAACTTGCTTTCTCACTTTCTCTCTGGTCAAATTATAATAAACAAAGTTAAATAAAATAATTCTTAAAAGAATAAAGAAAGAAATATAGACTTTAGACGTGTATGGCTGGACTCCTACGTAGTCAACCAGTTCTAGTCCCGCAGTAGCAGCTTAAAACTCAGGTCAGGCATGGTGTGCCTTCTGTGCCCAAAATCCCTAGAGGAGTGGAAAAGGGATCAGAGGGTGGTTGCCACCTCCTCCCCCCCATGTTCTGCCTCTCCAGAGAGCACATGCAACCTACAGCAAAAAAAAAAAAAAAAAAAAAAAAAAAAAGACAATACTGAGAGGAGGTGACTAAGTAGATTTAATCTTTTCTGTAGGAAAAGAATTTTAACGAATTACCAGATTCAATCACCAGTACGTTATCTTAGGCAGGCCTGCAGCAAACTGGGTCAACTATGCTGACTTAAGGCAGGAGTGAAAACGAAGGATTTCCGTAATCTATTAGGTTCGGGTCCCCCCTGGCGCTGGCCCTGGCACACTGCTTTTCTCCAACTGGTCTTCGACTCCGTCCTGCCTCCCTGCACCCACTCACACCCGACCTCTGCTCACAAGGCAGGAAACATGCTGGCACAGTGGTCTCAGGGACTGCCCAGTTCTCGGATGAACTGACCCTGGCTGCAGGTAACAGGCAGACCTCGCAGACCACCAGCCATGGGCTCTGACCTTGCTACTCTGAGTAACACGTCTCCCGGCAGCAGGGGTTATCCTAGGGGATCTGGGCCTGCTGACCTAGAAAGCTCATAGGACTCGGGACCAGTGGGTGGCATATGGTTTCGTCACGGGACTCCCACGTAGTAGAGTTGTTTGAGTTCTGACCCAGGCCTATGTGCATGTGTGCCCAAAATCCTGAGAGGAAAATCGAGATGGGACTGAGGCATGGCCGTCCCTCTGGGGGAAGATTTCTCGCTCTCTGTCTCTCTGGCAAGTGTTCACACCCTATAGCAAAAACCTCTCTTCAAAGCCTCTAAATCAGCCAGACCTCTTCCGACAGATGCCGTCCGCTCACTCAGCAAGCCACAGGGCAACAGGGCGGACTCTGCCTTGCAACTGCGCCAGTCACTGAGGGCACCCTACTTTACCCCACGTTCTGAAAGCTGGGGTTGAGTAAGATAAAGTCTCGCCTTCATGGACTTAACATTCTAGTGAGGGAAGCTAGTCAGTAATTAATTCAGTCCTATTTCTGAGGCTCTTGTAACCATTATAGAACCCAAGCTAAACTCACTTAAAAACGAATAGAACTACTGCATGCCCTGCCCCCACACGGCTGTGACTAAACACGCACCGGACGTCCTGTGTACTTCTGTATCTGTACTAGCCCATGTCTACAGATACACAGTGAGATCTCGGGACTAGCAATTGGTGCAATGGCTATGTTGCTGGACTCCCATGTAGTTGACTGTGGTTCAAGTCCTGGACCCAGTGGCTTAAACTCACGCCAGGCTCGTGTGCGTGCGTCCCCAGGATCCCAAGAAGAGAATGGAGAAGGGACTGTGGCGTGGCCATCCCCCCTGGGGGATGATTTCTCGCTTTCTGTCTCTGTCTGTCTCTTTCTGGCGAGCGCACACGCCCTATAGTAAAAACCTCTAAAAATAAATAAATAAATAAATAAAATAAATAAATAAAAAAGACAGGGAGATCTCAACAAAAAGAAAATTCAATTCCAAGTCAGAGGAACAAATGAAGCACAGAATACGCAGCATAAAGTACTGACTTAGAGAATCAAATCTAAGTCTTATTTCTCTGAATTCCAATGGCATGGCCGACTGCTCTGGACAGTCCTCACTCCTATTTTGATAGCAGAGCTGCAAAGCATTTGAAATATAAAGCTTCTGAGAGCAGGCCCCCTCCAGGCCCACCTAATACAGCCCACAGACACATAGCTGAGGAGGGGACTGTGGTCACTGGGGGTGAGTGGCACAGCGAGCCCACAGCGCCCCAACGTCAGAAGGCCTAACACGTCCACACGTGTGCACAACCAGCTGCACTGCTTCTCCGATTTTACTGCGGGTCACTCCTGCTGCTGCTGATACTGGCTTTCTTCCCCCCATTCCAAACAGACTAAGTTCGGGCCAGCAGGGGACGTGGCAGTCAAGGCGCAGGACTCCCACATGGCCAACAGTGGTCCAAGTCCCAGACCTAGTGGCTTGCTTTCTCACCTTCCCATCCTCTCTCTGATGAACATGTGTGCTCTGTAGTGAATTAAAATAATAATAATAAAATGACGATAAAACGAAGAACAAAAACCAGGACAAGGCTGAGGCCGCCTGCGGCCCTTCGCCTCACTCGCATGGATGGTGGCTCCCCGGCACGCCTCACCTCCTCAGAGGTGCTCTTTGTCTTCTTCCCTGAACAAATCCCTTTCTTGTTTTCCCAACCAGAGCGAGCTACTTGCTCCATCGCACCTCTCAAAATCTATTATTTATTGGGAACCAGCAGTTAGCATAATGGCTATGTCGCTGGACTCCCACATAGTCAACCGCGGTTCACGTCCCGGACCCGGTGGCTTAAAACTCACGCCGGGCGCGTGTGCGTGCATGCCCAAGATCCCAAGAGGAGAATGGAGGAGAAGGGATTGCGGTATGACTATCCCCCCTGGGGGGGGGCGTGATTTCTCGCTTTCTGTCTGTCTGTCTCTGTCTCGCGCGCGCCGTCTCTCGCGGGGGGGGGGGGAATCCCTCTCCAAAATCTGTTACTTATTTTTGTGCTTGTTTTCTGTCTCCCCAACTAGGCTACAAGCTCTTGTGAAGGCAGAAGGGCTGTCTTATTTCTAGTGCTGATAAGGCCCTGGCGCCCAGCAGGACACACTGAACACATCCTGGGGGACTGGGCCTTGCACTAAGAAAAAGCAAAGCATCGCTTTCTGCTAGAGTTCAGTGCATTACTGAAACTGACTCAGTATATGACCAACATGAACGGATAAAAACTTCCAATTTCTTGTTTTTCTGAAGAGATTTTTGCCTTAGGGCATGTGCTGCACTCCTGCCTAGAAACTCCTCAACATTTCCCTT